ACACACCGGGCCCCCATGAGGAAAGACAGTGCCCCACCTTCTCCAAGGTTTTTTGTATCTTCTCTCTCTCCTCCTCCACCCTCTCTGGCCTGAGGAGGCCTTGTGCATGTGTGCAACCATGTTATCTCTCTGCATACCAGGGAGATAGCTTACTCACAGCTTCTCCCTGCAACTTTCTCTGAAATGCAGAAGGAAGAAAAAAAACCAACCATCTACCCCATTTGAGAAGGCATTTCACAGTCTTCCTGAGCGAAACCAGTTCTAGCTTTCTGTTACATGTTCTTGTGCAATTGCACCTATCCCTACAGAGATGTAGCCAGTAAAGTTAGAACAACTTTTTTATAAATCTGCTTAGATAGAAAGAGCTTAGAGGACACTAAATGAAGAAATCAATAGCTTGAAGAGACTTAAAGTATATAGAATAGTTTTTGCATTAAATATGTAATCTAACATGCAGTCTATGGATTTATATTGGTTTTAATGTTCCATAGTGTTACCAAGGTTAATAATTCTTTAAAAACATTTTTTATTTTAACATTCTCTCTAATTCATATGGCACAGTATAAAACCAACTAAAATCTGTGTCCAAAGCTTAGGGGAGTTGCACTGCATATATCCTTACCCTGCCTCTTACTTACAGAATTGTAAGTAAGATGAACACAATCCACAGACAGATGAACATCTGAAATTAATGTACTTGAAAGAGATCAACAGTTGGAAAAAAAAGACTGTGTCACTTACTGGGTCATCAAATGGTAACCTTTCAAATGAAATGCAAATAAATTGTTATTTCAAATGCATTTTTATAAGGATGAAGCAGAGACTAAAGTTCACAGTGTTAATTGCTCAAATCCTGAAAACAGTTTTGAAGCCAAAGTTTATCATATAAATGACAAGGCCTGCAATTTCTCTTTAACAAGACATAATGAGTTTACATTTCTATGTTCCTCCATAAATAGAAAGCTCATTCTACATACTAAGTCTGGTATTTTATGTCTTATGAATCTACAATTAATTCCTTCAAATATTAATATTTCAGTGCAACCTTGTACTACACTCTTTTTATATCGAACAACTAGCCCACTAATTCTAAAACTGTATTTATAATGTACTTATTATGGTATTTAAAATGTTTTTAATAACTTACTGTAATGAAAATTTATTATCCTCCAATTCTTACCCATTTTGCAAGGTGGCAATTAAAGCATAACCAATTTTTTTGTACATGACCTGTTAGAAAACTCCGGAGTCATTAGAAGTTAGCCCCCTCATTGCTAAAAGAGGGTAGAAATAAAAAGTGTGGACAATAACCACATGTAGAAATAAACCTAAACAACATTCTAAGTTTTTAAATGAAGAGGTTACATGAAAAAACATGCATAAGATATAACTGAGACACCCCGCTTACAACTACAAATGAAGTAGTTGAAATATTTCAGAAATTCTGGACCACATATCTGGTAGGACTATTTTGTGACTCACCACGATGTACTGGTCCATGATTCTTTATATTTCAGTAGCCTTTGTATATGTTTATCAACAAACAGAATTCTATAATTTATAAAAGAAAGAAAAATTATGCAGTCTCCTTACAAACCCAATAAGAATTCTTTGTAGAATCCTTGTACATAACTGAGGTGTCCCATTGGTCCTTTGTTTAACCCCTTCCTATTGGCTGTTGACCCCTTACCTGATGGTTTCTTTTGTGTGACCCTGAACTTGTGATAGGTTCCCCTTTGACCCTCCTAAAAGCCTTATAAACCCCTTCCCAACAATAAACTCCCTCTTGCCTCCTCTCCACGCCCGGTGTGCTGTCTCTGTGCCTGCCATGGAGCCACGTGGGTGCTGGGGGGAGGGGAGGGCACCTCTCCCCTCCAGGCTCGGGGCCTGAAAAACCCTGTCGCTGGAGTCCCCCTTCCCCGTCCCACAAGACGTCGGAAATGGTTCTTCAGACGGAGAAGGAACTAGAGCTGGGAGGACACCTTGTATGGGAGACAATAGCTTCACAGGGGGTGTTTGGGAAACAGTGACACTGCAGAAAATACACAAACATGTTGAGACATGTTTAAACTACAGTAAAAGCTTCTGTTTCCATAGGGTTTGAGCTGTTTTCCTCACCAGTCCATTTCTGGCAGGACTTTTTCCATACTGTATATGGCAAGTTCATTGCCACATCTCCTCCTTTTTTGTCTTCTAAAGCTGGATATGCTTTTAATGATTGAGAGGTTCTGGTACAACTGAGGAAACACGGAAAGACACACATAAAGAGAAACACTACAGAGAGTACTAGTACGATAACTACAATAATTTTCTTAATAGTGGAAGAGAGGCCTTTGAAGGGTAGCCAGCTGAAAAAATCATCAAAAGTCAGAGGATCGGCTTGCTTGATTTCATGAACTAAGGATTTAAGCTGATTAATCTGGGAGTGGATAGATTGGGAGTGATCAGAGAAGTTGAGGTAGCAGAGGCCTTCAAACTCCTGACACCCATGGCCATTTACTCCCAGCTCTAGTTCCTTCTCCGTCTGAAGAACCATTTCCGACGTCTTGTGGGACGGGGAAGGGGAACTCCAGAAACAGGGTTTTTCAGGCCCCAAGCCTGGAGGGGAGAGGTGCCCTCCCCTCCCCCCAGCACCCACGTGGCTCCATGGCAGGCACAGAGACAGCACACCGGCGTGGAGAGGAGGCAAGAGAGAGTTTATTGTTGGGAAGGGGTTTATAAGGCTTTTAGGAGGGTCAAAGGGGAACCAATCACAAGTTCAGGGTCACACAAAAGAAACCATCAGGTAAAGGGTCAACAGCCAATAGGAAAGGGTTAAACAAAGGACCAATGGGACGCCTCAGGACACCTTTCCCAGGACACTCCTGCATGGGAGATAACAGTTGCTGTGGGGGGGTGTTGGGAAGAAGAAACACGTGTTTGCAAAGGGACCACAAAGAGCCATTTTAAGGCATGTTTAAACAAGTTTCTCATCAGATATAGTGCTACACATAACTTTTCTTTTTTTCACCATTTATATTTCCACACAGCATTAAGAATATACCAAGGCTGTCTCCCAGTCAAAGCAACACACCACTGTTGAGCTGGTTGCTGAAGTACCTCTGAAACCATGAAGCAAGCTCCTGGGAAAAACATGTAAGTGAGACATTATCAAAAGCAAAGCATTTGGTCACAGCAGGATCACAAAAGTAAAAACAGCAAAGGAAAACTGGAAAAGAGTAAACTAAAAAATAGAGTACACCAACTTTGTACTGTTATGGTATATTTCTGCAAAATATTCCTTGTGTCCCTGGTTCAGCATAAAGCTGCTTTCCTCACCTGTTTAATAACTGTGAAAAAACTTATTCTAGAGCAGAAAGCTGCTGCAATATGGTCCTGTCTGCTTTCTAAAGCAGTGGTATGACCGAAGTTAGTGTCTAGTGCTAGTTAGTGTCTTCATGGCTCCATTTCCATATCTGTATTTTGCAATAAAAATGAATTCACTACTCTTTTGCAAATGGTTTCATAGTAGTCTAGTTTGCCTGTTGTCTTGGATTAAAGACAAATATGGGGGTGGGAACTCCTAATCAAATGAGCCCCCCTCCCCTTTTTATGCCCCACCAGTATAGAACTTTGACATTTTACCTATTGATTTCAGAGTCTTGTGATGAGGGCAAGACAATTTAAAGGTAATTAAGACAATGTAAGGAAAAATGAAAAAAAAAAAAAATCCCAGAGAAAGAAATGAGAAAAGGGAAAGGGAAATTGCTTTATTTCACAGAGAATTACTTTGAGAAAAACTTTTAGAATCTTATATTTGGAAGAGGTTCATCCATGCCTAATTTTTAATCTGGAGAACTTTTACATAAATTAGCGAAGACAATGTTCTATACAGCTCCTCCATAATGTCTGTATTGCTACCTCCTTTTCTAGACATCATTTTACATGTATAAAATTCAATCAGTCACATCAACTTTCTTTAGTTAAAGTAAACACTGGAAGTGTTTCCAGTACAACTATCAGAGTAAAAACAATTGGATTTATTCTGTGTTTCAAGAACCTAGAACAAAACAGCACAGTGGATTTGCATATTCTTTATTGCCTTTTAGTGATATCCATTCAAAAGGAAAAGGAAACTCTGTTTACTGAGTTGAAAATGAATGTAAATTACAATGCAAATTTAAGGGAAAGGATAAAAATTAGAAATTATTAGAATTGATACATAATGTTATTTACCCTCCTGAATCTTCTTTCTAGGCTTCCATGAAGATGTGATTGACACAAATAATGCTACCACAGTGACATTCTGTTTACCATTATTTTATGGTTTCTCCTATCTACAAAATGAAGTTAGCTGAAAACTGTAATTCCATAAATCACACAAAAAGCACAACAGTGTGTGCATACAAATAATAAATAGTAATGTTTAAGAACGTATATTCTTAGTCTGCTTGTCCTGTGTGGTGAACACAGGCGATCCTGGTCTGGCCGTACACCATTGAACTTCCTTATCTAGTAGGCCATTTTCATTAAATACCTTCAATAAAGAAGTATTACAAAAGGATGACTAATTTAAGAATATTCTGCTTTCCTCTATGTGATAAAATACATATACATGGATATCTATATGGTTTCATATATGCTGTTCAGAGACTGTTAACATCATACACAGTATATACAATGACAGCAACATCCAGACAGATATTTTTTTTGATGGCAACTCTTTCAAGAATGATCAGAAATAGCTTAACAAATCACCTCTCTGCAGTTTTTACAGCACATTAACCACATTTTGAAGTAGATACCTGAAGTCCATAATGCCGAATGATTGCTAGAGGGCTTCACTGAAATAAAATGGTGTTAAATGGAAGCATCAGAGTTTGCAAAAAACGAGCAAAGAATGAGCGCTTGTGCTGTTCATCAAATGTCAGTCCGCTATCAAGTGATAATGAGCACAGAACTACTAAGATATTTTTATTTCATCTGTCTAGGAACAGATGAAGTAATGAAATACTGTGCATTCAAGAAAATTTTCTAAAAAAGAAGAAAGAATCTTTTAGGAAATGGGTATGAAGTGATATATAAGATGTCAAGAGATACTTCTCTTTTCCATATCCAGTGAGTTTTATAAAAAGGTTCTGTAAAATTCTGACACATGCATATTTCTTTGGCCATAAGATTATCATGACATGTCAATATCACTAAAATCAAGATTTGGCCTCTTTCACAGGGATTTTTGAAAAGTCTATTCACTGCTGCATCTAGACGTCAGAGTACCAGAATATCAGTATTAAGAGGCACAATACTAAATCTTAAATAGGTTTCCTATCAAAGTTCAATTGTTTTATTAGTGGGTTTATTTGTTAATATTCTCTTTTTACAGAACCATCCATCAAATAAAGTTGATTTTCTGAAAAATACAGATTTATAAAATTTAGCTTGCCATACAGAAAGAAAATATGAATTATTTTCTAAGGTTCTTTTTAAGTATATAATTAAGCTGGTTGTTAATGTGATGGTTTAATATATTTAACATCAATAATGGAAACCTACTTCATAGAGTAAAATTGGAAATGAAAGGCTGACAACGAAATGTTACTGCTACTTTCAGTGCTTCAATAGTTGGGTAATTCATCCAGACTGTTCAAAAAAATAGTCAGATTACAATAATTATTAGCCTCAACTTTATTCCATTGTATAACCTGACATTCATGTACTTCCATTTGATCACATAGGTCATTATGGCTACTGCAAAACTAGAGAGGAACACATTTTGTCAATTTGTGCTCTAGAAGATTTTAAGAGTCAAAGAGAGATCTCATGCTTCAGCAAAATAAACTTCACTGAATAAACATCAAACATAAGAATGCAACACAAAAAGTCTGTTCCACGTCATATACATAATATACAGAAGTTTATACATCAACTTTTCCTGTGTTCTCTGGTTTAAATTAAAAGTCTTTAAATATAAAGTACACCAGGTTGTGGAAAAAACCCACATTCAGAATGTTGAATGCAACTTAGTTCCAGCTGCTAAAATGATGAAACTGATGAAAATATTGTAATTATTTTGTAAGGGCCATATGACTGCAAAGTGAAGTCATTAGATGAGGGTTTCTTAAAGGCGGCTCCCATCTTTTCTGATATTTCTGTTAGGCTTGACTTCTAAATGTGCATACACTGTATAGTTTACTCACCACTACTAGTAACTTAAACTTCCTTGTTTGCTTCTTCTCTGCATTATGTGTCAGCATACCAATCCCAGTTTATTTGCCCTTTCCTGTAGTGGCATAAATATGCATTTAACAAATGACTCCTTCTCTGGTCCCCCCACCCCACTTTCCCCTTCTCTCCTGACCTGATAATCTGGATAATAGCACAAAGTAATAAATCAGATACATTACTGGAGTGCCCCTCAGAGTCTTGACAGCATTATTCTGAAAACCCAGTGTTATTTACAGGAACACAGTAGGGACATGGTCCAGTTTGCAAGGAATCAGTGAAAATCTTTTTACTCTAATTTTTCAGCTATAATAGTGGCTGAAAGAATTTACTCCGCTTCTAAAAGGTTTCCCAAGTGATAGTAAATTCTGAATCAAATTAAAATAATTGTGTAATTGCTTTCTAACACCATAGCTTTTGTCCTTGATAGATTTTGGTCACTGGGCTTTTGTCTTTTGTCTGAGCTTTCTAAAATTTGAAGCATGAACATTGACTTCTTGGTATTTTTTTCTAATTAGAAAAAAATATATACACACTTTCTTCAAAAATGCATGTACAGCTTCATTACAATGTCAAATACTTTAGAAAGAAATAATAAGTACAACTCTAGTGTTATTTTCTGCTAACATAATATAGAATTTATGTGCAATTGGAAATTAAGATGTACTGGTATTTAAGACAATTATAACTGAATTTAGCTGATTGTGTAATCAACTTCTGAGTTTTCACCTCTATTGTTACTTGAATAAGTTGTTTTAACACTACACAGAACTTAGAACTTCCTGCACTCATCACTCTTACTTCTACATAGAGTACATTGCTGAGCTACATCTGAAAAAGGACCTGTAAATAAGTTCATTTTTTCCCTACTGTATTTTAACTATAATTATATTTTCTATGCTAGGAACTACATTTTCAATGTTAATGTAGTTAACTACGTAAGTGTCAGAATTCAATGCTATCATGATATTTCAGTCAGTATAATGATGAGTTCTTTGAGAAGATGAATGGTTGGTAGTTTTTTAACATACCCATGTGCAAAATGAGTAAATGGAAAAATGTGCAAGGTAATGATTAAAATAATAGAAATGTAGACAGAAACAAATATTGATGTAGATGTAAAATTGCAGATTTATATCTGATCAGAGAGGAAAGGTTGCAGCATACCGCTAGTTAATGGCAGTTAGCATGCAATTTGCTAATGGCTTTAGAGGGACATTTATGCCAAATATTAGTTAATCTGTACCATAACTATAATAATAAAATGTGTTTAACTTTATAGTGAGATATTATGAACCTTTACTCTTTTATGTTATTAGGCCAATTTATTTCATGACAGTAAGTCTGGACTGTCATTACCCCCAAGATGTACCTGGACTAAGTGGTAGAATGCAGCTTGCTAAACATCTGAGACCTGGTTCTATAGATTCATTAATAGCAGTGGAAGAAGTCTTAGGACCCAAAAGTCCATTGGAAAGGTAGAGAAACCTGGGAATAGAAGATTTCTAGAAAGTATCAATATTCAGTGTTTGTAACCTAACAGCCAAGGTGAATAATAAGTAATCATGCATCTTTGATCACCTCACTCCAATTGACCTCCCAGGCAATATCAGGAAAATCAGTGCAGAGTTTGAGCAATAAGAGGAATCTGGTAAAAGAAGTGCAGAAAACTTCCATTCTCACAGAACAACAAATATTATTTAAAAACAAATTCAACAACTCTTCTAGAACTCTTATTTCATCAAAACATTTTCTGTTTTTCTTTGTTTACTGGTTGCTTTACTGTTACTGTTAAAGGTTGAAAACACAAGTCTTTGTTCCAGAGAGATGAGATGTGATGAAATACTCAACAAAAATTCCAGGATAACATAGGCTGTAACAGATCCTTGAAACACTTTTCAGAGACGATTTGTATCACAGATATAGTACTTTCATAAAATTCTTGTACGTATTTATATCTGAAAAACGATACAGAAATGAAATGTTAAGACAGACATATAATTACTGCCTTTTTAATAGAAAATTGGTGTCTAGTATCCAGAATATCTACGGTAATGATTTCTCACTAAGAATCTCCCTATGTCTAGATTAAAATAGTCCATCATGATTACAGATTATTTCCAGAACACTCATGGCTTGAAACTGCTGTTCTCTGGTTATGTGATTTACCAAGTTTTCCGCTGCAATTGAGAGATTAAGCCTTCTGAGAATCCTGCTTCACTTATTTTAGCAAGTAATTTATGCTCATTAACAGGGAGTCACTATAACATAGGCCTTTGTAATAGAATATGAGTTTGTCATTAATTAAATGCTATGCTGAGTTTCATTTTGTGAACACAGTTGAGTGATCAACGAATATTTTCAGCCTAGCTAATCAATTTAAAATTGTTCTGCCCACAACACTTCTTGTTTACTGGATAGTAAATGTGGTTAGGATGTACTTTTTCTATTGATAAGTTTAATCTTATATTGCATGATTGTAGGTGTTTCCCAAGAAGCCATGGCAGATGTAAAAAAAAATCCTCCACCCATTAATACTTATGTAACCACTGTCCCTCATATCAATGAGAATGTGAAAGAGAAGCCAACTGCACACTTGCTGTCTGTAACTAGCATAACATGACTGGCTAGCCAAACATGTAGTATTTTTGTTTTCTATGGATAACAAAAAAACCTACTTCTAGTATTAATATTACTCATGCTAAAACCTATGACTATTTGTCCAATTTTTCAAACAGATGGTTCTGTCTACACCTCCAACTCCTGAATACAATTCCATAAATAAGAATATGGCACGAATTTTCTTCATACCTCTAGGAAAAAAAACCCAACTTTTCATTTGCAAGTTCTCTTCATTCAATTAAAAAATAGCAATGTGTAGCAGTCACTTAATGTTTTACTCAAAAAAACAAATATCCTTTTAACATATTCTGCATATCTTAGCTTAAAAAGTATGGATAAGCACATGAATAATGCTTAACAGTATTTAAATGCTTACCTGAGGTGAAAATAAAAGAGAAATGCCTTTATAAAGCTGTTCCTGTGATCCTTCATATCCTATGTATGAAAGCAGTATCCAAAACTATCTGAAAGGAACAGAGAGAGAAATAAGAAAACAAATTGCTTATAAACAAAATACAGCTAGGCAAGATGATGATGACTCACATATTATAACATAAACTAACAGCAAAATACTCTTTCTTTTTACCTTTCTGGGAGAGAACACATTTGTTTCTTTCTTGACAGAATAAATAACACTAATCTTCAGTGTCCAACTGAGAAACGGTCCCTTCTAATAAATCAC